TCTTACCACACCTTCCACTGACCCGCCCCCTTTACCATACTCTCCACTTGACCACCTTCTCTGACCACAACATATCTAGCGACCACATCCTCCATCTTCCTCACCTGATGAGAATAGGCACACATGAGATGTTGGGGATCTTAGATGTGAATGGTGAGGCAACGGATGCCTCAGCCTCTGATAGTGAGATGCCAGCATGGGCAGTCTTAAGTGCCCCACAATCATTAGCCCCATCACCGCACATCCCCACAAAATATTCCAGATGTTGGAACTCCTCCACTAATGACATCTTCTGATTAGGTGAGAAGCGAGCAAAGATTGTTCCCTTGACGATGACCTGGGGAAAGGAAGAAGACAAATTCTGGTAGCAACCAATCAAACCACACAATTTTACTGCTGCATATGCATCGGGAGTCTGCCATGTTAACTATTTCAGACTGCACTCTCAGATAGTGGAGCCTTTTAGTGCCCAGCTTTTGATGTGAGGGGGGGCTTCAGGATTATTCAAAACGATGTTGGGGAGAACAAAAATATAAAAACTTTACTCACGGTCCCAACATCCTTGCTTTTATTTGCTGGTGTTGTTATCTTAGCATTTTGGTGCTAATATTTGATCAATAAACCGAGTACTTTCTTTCCTACTCACCTATGAAGTATTCTTAGTAAAAAATCTGTTGGGAGAGTAGGGGGCATTTTCCCCCCACGAGCCGCCCCCACCCCTGGGTACTACTGTCCAAATCCTAAAGATAAAGCCCAGGATGTTTGAGAGACCATAAATTACATTCCAATCATTATTTTACTATCGTCTCTGTAGTCATGATCATCAGATTTGATTGATTTGAAGGGAACTGATGTTTCCTCTATCTGCAGCTTACATTTTGCAGTTGGTCAGGAAGATGTTGCAGTATGGCATTGTATGTTGTTCCATCCATAGCATAATGAGTGTTACTGGTAACCAGGGGCTTATCCACTAACATTGGATTGATTTCTTCCTTGAAAGTCTGATCATAACCAACAATAAAACAAAACAAAGAATGGCAAAAGGACATGAAGTTAGATTTGTAGCTGAAATGATAATTTATTAAATTTTCCGGTCCAGGGTAAAAGAAATCATTTCAAAAATCTAGACTGAGTAGTTGTTTTTGCATCTCTTATAACAGCAGGTTGGTAAAAAACTGACAGGAAAAATGGGCATACCTAATAAAGAGTTTCTCTTATCTTAAAATATCTTCTGTAAATTCCTAGCACGGTCTACAAAAGTTTGTATAAAAAAGAAATGGACGACACATACATCTGCATTTTACTGCCCTGGGCTTGAGGGTACACACGGACTGAGTTGAAGTCAGAAACAAATTTGAACATTACCATGTGAAGAATTTTCTGAGAGCTCTTCTGTGTCCAAGCCCAGGGGTTGTCATTTTTCTTTTCCTTACCTTCAATTCCAGTGCCTCCTTCTTACTCAAAGTGAACGGGATCTGATCGTTAATTGGAGTGTGATCCTCAGCAACTGTGGTATATGTCAGTATCGGTTTGGGGTCATCATGACAACATTCAGGCATCTGAGCTTGGACATGAATGATCTTATCCTGAGGTGCACACATGCCACACTTACGGGCCACATTGATGGCTGTCAGTAGATTATCACCTGACGAAGAGACCAAATAGAGGGCCACAGACATTTCTCATATTCCAAGACCAGAGAATCTGTGAATACGTTTGTATGAACATTAATTGGGGAATGCAAATAAATGTTAATGCCGAGAGGCATAGATATGGGCTGTTGCCCACTTGTTGTCCACCTGTTATTGCTAGCCTGTTGTCCACCTGTTATTGCTAGCCTCTTGTCCACCTGTTATTGCTAGCCTCTTGTCCACCTGTTATTGCTAGCCTCTTGTCCACCTGTTATTGCTAGCCTCTTGTCCACCTGTTATTGCTAGCCTCTTGTCCACCTGTTATTGCTAGCCTGTTGTCCACCTGTTATTGCTAGCCTGTTGTCCACCTATTATTGCTAGCCTGTTGTCCAATTGTTCTTGCTAGTATTTCTAATATGGATGACAGATAATATGACTTCCTTTCAACTAACCTGTGATCATGACAGTGCGTATGTTTGCCTGATTCAACTCCTCAATGACCGGTTTCGTCTCTGGTTTTAGTTTGTTCTGCATGATCATTAAGCCCAAGAATTCCAGTTCTTTCTCCACGTTCTTCCTAATCAACAGAGACAAGTCAACATCAGCTTCTCGTTGCAGTCATTTCCTGCTCTCTGTGACTTTTCTTCCCATTGAGGCATTTTTTAGGTATGTACATAAGCAACATTACCACACACCCCAAAAATCAAATAAAAAATCATCAGTTTTGTTATTCGATCATTTCCTCAACAACTTCATCATAGCCATTAATCCATATAAATTAAATACCTTTGAATATTCATGAGATTCTCCAGTGTTTTGTCCGAGTCAAGGTTTCTCCAAGCAAGAGCCAAGACACGGAAGCCATCTTGCGTGTAATCACTCAGCATTTGCTGAAAATTGTCAGGAACTTAAACAAAAAAACCCATAAAACTGAGATGCACAGATCCACAGATGGATTCAAGCACTTAACATTATTATATTTAAGGAGGTTACTTTTATTTTGCCTTTCAGAAAGATTAAAAGATTCTGCTTTGATCAAAACATCAGGCATAACTTTCTCTAAGTTTTTTTTCAGCATAACAGTAGCAAGACCAAAATGAACATGAACATGAACATTTGATTTGACAAGACACTGATTTGTAGATCCATCAACACAAAACATTTCCTTGAATTCACATCACCTGTTTCTGGTTTGGATAATGACCCGATCATCTCCGGTGAACCCTTGACGTATGCGACCACATGATCCTCTCCTTTGGTCTGAGCAATGACGCTCATCCGTTGTAGGGGAGAGGAGAATGGAAAGTGACGTAAGATGGAGATGTGGTAATCACCCTGGCAACCAGATGGTTTAAAAAAACGAGCGAGATCAAGAGCATGAATTCGTCACTGAAAATTGAAAGAAAATGTTTAGGTCTCAAAGATTAAACAATGTCTCTCCATACACCCGTCCACTGAGCACTGTGCTCAATCTAAGCAACTGAAGAAGGCTGAAAACTGACAACCGTTGTTGAATTTGATCAAAATAAGGTCAGAAAAAGATCAGCCAAATTCAAGAGGTTACCATTTCTACATAAATCAAACTTAACTTCATCCGAATGTTGTTCCTCAAGGTGCCATTCTGAGAGAGTTAAAGTAGTTATACCAAACTAATGATTATTGAGAAATAGAATAAGTTGACTTTTCATTGAATATTCAAAGGCTGATGTAATTAGAATTAGGATCGGTTAAAACCACTGTATTACCTTCTCTTTATGTGATTCGCCAATCTTTATGACGTCCTTTGGTGGCTCTACTTTGATGAACTTTTCTGCGGAAGATCTATCTGGCTCCTTGAAAGACTGAAAATAAACATGTCCGCCGAAACAAGTTTGTGATGCACAAAGATTAAAATTGTACTGGCAGAATGACATACAATTTTTTGTATGTCTAAGTTGCAGGGGCTAACTGACATGTAAATCAGAAAATGTCACAGAAAACTTTGCAGTTACCCATCCCGTTGCCTGGAACATCTTCAGGTCAATGGGGTCACCTGACAATTCCTCGTTGACAACAGCCAATGAATGACACGTTGCCATGGTAGATGTGAATGGACCAGTAGAAAAACTTGAAACTGATGTTGTCAGAGGCAGAAATCTGAAAAGAGGTCCAAAAAATCTGGAGCACTTACTCACCGTCAACAACAGGCCTATAAAGACTTCTGATATCAATGGCGTCCAAATCGGTTTCTGTCCGAAGTTGCAGCAAGGAGTTAACGGTCCAAAATTTTCTGGGGTAAAAGGGTTGTTACAATTCTGCCAAAGGACAAAGTATTTGTCTTCAATATAACAGAATCTAGAGACAGAGTTGATATACGCAAGGCTAAATATAACCTGTGAATACTCTTTACAAAATCTCTAAGAATTCCCATTGTGACTTGTTTTTTTCTGCATAAAAACTCAATTTCTGATTTTCATCAGATTTTTTGAATTACCAACCTTCCATCTTGGGCCATCTGCACTCCAAGCAGATCCAGTCCATCTTCAGTCAGAGTACCAGTCTGATCAAATAAAAATGGTACTACTGAAACCTAGCAGTGGATGATTACCAGCCAAGCCATGAGAGTACACTTGTAAGTTAAAGTGGATTCCAACAAGATCTTGATTACAGTGCACCTGTCCCTGAGGCCATATATAGTGATTGTCTCTGTAGACATACCTCAATGGACAGAACTTCCTACCTACCTTATCAAAGCAGAATATGTCAATGGTGCCACTCAGATTAATCCTTTGCGGACTAATGCAGAATATCTGTTTAGCTTTGAGTCGTATCTGAGCATAGACCATTCCAATGGTCAGAGCAGCTGGTAAGGCCGGGGGTACGGCAATAGTAATTATATCCAAGGCCCGGATAATGATGCGTTCAACCTTCGCCTGATAAACACACAGAAAATCAAAATAAAACAAGTCACTTTTCAATCCTAGACCCCAAGAATTATGAAATATAAGCAAGAATCAGATCTGAACATCTGAATATTTAGCAATAGGCATATCTGGAAATGCGTGTGAGTGTACAAAACTTTGAGTTCTTTGGAAGTCCAGATTTTCAAATTATTTCCACTTGAATTGAAAATTCAAACTGAAAGATGACTTACTCCTTTGAAGGACATCATGATGATGGCATAAACGAGTCCAAACAGTGCTGCGAAGTACAAAAAGTTTTATGAGAAGTAGCAAACTCTAAATCTTCTTGTTAGCACTTGTTGAAGTGATGTAACTTGCTCCAAGCACTGTCTTCACGTTTTGAAATGTTCTGAAGATTGTGAATATTTTATTGGTCTTTGCCAATACGCAGGAGATTTAGGGATGAAGTCTGATCTTTACAAGCTCATGAGGTTTTTCTAGAAAGCTCAGAAAGATGAATGAGCATACAGATGCACTAAAACCTCACATAGGATAAGACCAAAAGATTGTAAACATTGGCAAGTTTTGTTGGATAGGAAAGTTGGCGATGAATGATATTTCTGGAAATCATTCCAAACAGCAACCTACCAATTACAGCCAACATGCCAATAAAGCGTAAAGCGTCACGGTGTAGCTTGAATTCCATTGGTTTAGGGTACATGATAGCCTGTACAAGACTGCCCTTGGCAGTAGAAAAGCCTGCATAAGAATGAAAGAAAACACAGTCACAACGAGAACAAAAACCATATTCTTAAACTAAAGATTAAGTTTGATCGTGTGGAACTGAATTTGGACTCCAGTAAAAGCAAAACAATAAAATAAACAAAGATTGGGAAAATCTCTATTTGAACAGGAAATCTGACACTATAAATGCATAAAATTACTTTTTCTTGCCAATTATTCCAAAAATAGCTAAGTCAACAAAACCAGTCAAAGTTCAGTCATTTCAAAAATCACCATTTGTACATTTCTGTGAACTTGTAGTTCAATTCTTCAGGTAATTTCAATTTTTAAGAAGATGTATAAGTTAGAAATGCAACATCCAGGCAATTAAGTTCAACATACATCGTACCATTCCAAGACAATCAAAATGTACAAACCTGTCTGGACAACCACAGCCCTGACTTCATCTGTGCCTCCTTGTCTTGTTTGTATCACCTTAGTGCCACAGAATAAACTGTTACGTTTGTGTTCCAGGCGACTGTACATGGTCAAGCGGTCATCTTGATGTGAGAGTGGGGTCTTAGTAACTGGTACACTCTCCCCTGGTAACCAAACCACAAAGAAACATAGCACGGTGGTAACCCTAGCTAATGTGCCAATGACCAAGGAGGCTTATCTGTCTTGATGAGAAGTTTCAAAATTGAGCCCTGTTCTTCACATTCTTGAAAAACCTTTGTCCTGATAAGCCATTCACAGTTATCCACACATGGCAACAACAGTCGCAAAGTGTCCTCTCCGAGGACACACATGTACAGGCCATTAAATTTGCCATCTGCGCTCCTTGGACTTTTGAAATACTCGCTTTATTGTGAGTTTAACCAATATACCGGAAGCAGACATCAGCCTTATATTGGGAAACATGCTAGAAACTAATTAGAACACCAAGTTGATTCAACCCAAACTCTAAAGAAATTAGCACTCTGCTTTGAAGGGAACTCTAGAGAAGAAAGATAACACTATATCTTCCCACCTGTCAGTGAGCTTTCATTGACGATGCAGTTTCCAGCAATAAGCAGCGCATCACACGTCATCATGCAGCCATGATGAGGAATTACAATGACATCACCTGGCACCAGAACCTTTTCTGATACCTCCACAATCTCTGTCAATCAGACCAAGAAACACACAAGTCTTTTCATGCATTTGATCATCTCAAACCTTCTGCCGTGAAATGCAGCCCTGTCTTTCACAAGCATCAGGCAAGTGTTAACATTGCCTAAAAATCTTGTGATCTGCATGTACCTTAACCCACAAAGAGCCGGGGGGGGAAATCTGCCTCCCCTTCAATATTTATATTTTTCTGATATCACCGCAGTGCATTTTTTCAAGAGTTGAACCTTTAGGGGCGTTTAGAGTAACTCTAGATCTTTAGGTGTCAGAGTCATTTTGACACCATTTTTGCATAAATCGAAAATACTACTTCGTGCAGCGTGTATTTCCCCGAAACGGGTCAGCCCAAAGTGTATACTTTTCCACTGTAGTGCTAAATGCAAGCCTACTTGTTCAGCAATGAATTTCAAATGATCATCAGAACAAACCCATACAGGTATGTTTGATTGAGTTCAAACATCATATTTGTAAAGATGAGGAGTGTGTGTAAAAGCATGCCAAGTTTTGTCCCCACCCCAGCTGTGAGATGACCCAATATAACCCGACTCTTTTAGGGCTAATGGATGAATTTTTTTCCCAGTAAACTAATTCTGTGAGCTTTTGGTGCATATATTTTCCAAAGTGTGCTCACCGTTGTTGGGACGTAAGACTTTCACCATTGTGTCTGAATGTACCATGTTGCGCAGAGTCAAATTTTGCTGTCGTCAAAGAACAACAAATGTAACAATTGAGTTCAGAAAAACATAAAATTGTTCTAGATTAAAAGAAACACCTGATAAGAGCAGACAGCGAGATCTAAAATGTCACTCCAAATTGACAAATAGTTTCCCTAAAATTGCCCCTTTTTATCATGACAAGATACACTGAATACCTGATATCATTTTCTCTGTCATCATTTCTCAATGTACCTTACAACCCTCACTGAGGGATGTAAGCAAATAAGGACATTAATGGACCAAGACGGACCTACCTTCCTGGTTGTATACAGTGAAATACTGATAGAAATTGCTGACATGATCAAGATGCAGGCCGAGTAATAGTAATACTCATCAGAGAGCCACACGGATACGCTGAAGATTTGAAACATGTAGAATGGATTCAAAACCTGAGGACACAAACGCAGAGTTTACAGGATAATGTCTGAGATCGTACTCTTCACTAATGCCAGAAATTCATGGCCTAGGTTCAAATCCCCCTCAAGGCAAATCCCCCTGAAGACAGCTAAAACCACTTCTTCTCAGAAGAGTGGACGTGAACACTGCTCCTCAAAGACCTATCCTCCCTAAAAATAAAACAACAGGGGGAAAATTCAAAATATTTGTTCTGCTTACCTCCTGAACAAGAAGAACTGGGATGGAACGCACTCGAACATGAATGACATTCTGGCCATAAATGGCTCGTCTAAACATAAAGAAACACCCTAGATATCACTAACAGCAGCATGAGATCTGGGGAACCAGACTATGTACATCTCACGATCTTACACTGCTTTCTCTCAGGACCTCTACAATTATCGCAACTCCACAATTTGAAAAGGTATTTTACTGCAATTCTGAATAATGCCATCATCTCATAACACCAATCATCATCCATCATCTTATAACACCAATCATCATCTTTCTTTCCATCTGGCAAAGCATGTACCCCAATTTGACCAAAATCTCAAGTTTTTCTGGAATTAGTCCAAGTTTCCTAGTTTTTTTCTTGGTTCTTTCATAAGTCCAAATTCCAAACGTTAACCTTCCTAAACCAGTACATGAATTTACCTCTGTTCAGACTGACTTTCAGTCAGTCCGACTGCATACTCCTCCAAGAATGCATTACAAGGAGTGTCAGTCTCCAGGCCCCTGTAGAGAAGGAAAATAGTTGCTTAACCACAAAAATGATAACAAATTAATGCTTATGAAGTTGGTTTACAGGCATAATGTTACATACATCCAAGCTAAGCAAGCATATGTGGGTAACATAAGAACAGTTAAATGTAACAAACTTATTTTGGGTATCAGGTGATTTAAGATTTAACTTTCGTTGAATGACAGTTGCAAAGGCTATTCAAAACTTTGGCAATGGACAAGGACCCAAACCTGAATGATAGGAGGACTAGATAGTGTAGAAATGACATCAATCAATCAGTAATTCACCTGTACTTATGCACTGGTAACCACCCCGCTATGAGAGAAGGATTTTACCTAAGACGGAATATGTCATGCTGGATGAGATCCAAAACAAAGAAAATCTTGTGAAATTTGAAGAATCGCAGGTTCCCGTCACTATCGACAACATTTCTCTTCACAACGGTGTGGAGAATTTTGTGACTGCAACCACTTCAAAGAGAAATAGGGCAAACTGAACAGAAACAGCAGATAGCATTGTGTTGTAGTTTCAAATTCCTAAAATTACACCTTTGTCTGCACATTTTCATGTATTTGCCATTTTCAAGGAGGGAATCCGAAAATAAAAAAAGATTCATAGATCGAAATTTACAATAATATAAACCTATCACTACCCTGTAAATAAAAGGGGTACCAAAAACAAAATGAAAAAAATCAATAAATTTGATTTTTAAACTATGTAGGGGAAAAAAGAAACCTGCTTTCAAGTATATTTACTGGCAGAAAGCAAAGAAACTTTTATATAACAAGGTAAACAGGCAAAGATAGATCTCTGAACTGTGGAACCATTTATAACAGAGATGCAAATGATCTACTTACCTATTATCTTTAATAAGCTTCCGTCGAATGACACAGACATGGTAGCGCTGATAAATATCCTGGTAACATAGGTTGGAACAAACACACAAATCAAAACCCTGAAAGCATGGATCTACAGGTAGAGAAAAATGGACAGTGTAAGAGTAGATTCTTGGAAGGCACATTTATTTTATGCTTAAATTGTTACATGCAGTTGTAATTCAGTTTCATATTCTCAAACCTTGATGAGGACAAAATCTGCCTGCTTAAGATGGCAAGGCCTACACATGCACTTGAGTTTCCAATCTTCCTTCCAGTAGAAAACAAGGAAGAGAAATCCCAGAGAGAGAAGACCACCGACCCAGCAGATTGCTGTCAGTAGAGGATTCTTCCTATATCCATGACATTCCTGATGCAAGATAACAGAGTCCATCATAAAACTGTTATTTATGTACATGTACAAGAGATGTACACTTCACTAAAACAAGTAACTGACTGACAGTTCACACAACATCAACTTCTGGTGTATGTTCTGCTAAAGCAAAGATCTGGGTGTGTTCTAGTTTTACTGATCCATGATATTGGGTTAAAAACCAGACCTTCAAACTGCAAATTCAACAAGCAGGGATCTATTTACATGTGCATGAGCCAAACTTACATCAAATAATGCAAAATACACATCCATAGACAACTTCGACAGTTCTGATCAATTGGCAACAAATATGGAAAGCTATTCCCCCAAACTGGAAATGTGCTCAATATTGTAGCTTTTTAATAAGGTGTCAGGCTCATTCAACTTAAAATGTTCAAAATTCACTCAAGAGGCTTGACCCCTTTATCAATTCAAATAATGGCAAAACATTGATTCCTTCAATTTGTTCATAGGGCCTATTCTCTGAGGTGAAATATTTGGCAAAGCCAAATGTCAAACCATCAAACCATCAAATCAAAGATTACATTACCACTTTTTCCAACGTACAGTTAATGTCTAACTGCAAACAATGATACTTACAATATTCTCATTGGTGTCTACCTCCGCTGTGACCCAACTTGAACTTGACATTGTGATGAGCGAAGTCAACAACTGCTTCAGAAACTTTCAATATATGTACCTATTTTACAAGACACAAATCTCACTGGAAGAACTAAGGAGCAAAGATTTCAAGCCTCATCTCAATCCTTTTTATACTTGTGTACGGATACAGAAGTTTACAATCTTTACCTCTCTTTATGAAAAAATGTTTTTCTTCAATAACTGCATAAGCATTATCATGTAGAGTAATCCCCCAACAACAGTAGTTACATGTACATAAGACAACACCAAAGCCAGCCTGTGCATTTCAGACAAGCATAGTGCACACTGCAGAGTATTTATTGCTTTGGTGACAGGTACCTTCCAAGGGACCTAGTGGAAGTCAAAGATATCAGAAATCTCGCACAAAGTCCACAAAAACTTCAGTTCTTATCTGCCAACAAATTAAACAGGATTATCAGTGATTCTCTCTGTATACGTGTACATGTGCCTTGGCTGGTCATGCATCCATGCAAAATCAGGGTTATGGTTTTAAAACAGAATATTTCTTCCAAAATAAATTTATTCAAATCTCGCAAGAATGGTTGATACATAATTGAAAAGGGGAATATACTTTACTCCAGAGCAAAGCTTTTGTAATAAAAAATGTCGTACGAGTATCTTTAGAATTCACCAAATGATGATGATCCAGAGATCGACGTGCTTTCAAAAGTTGACAAAATTTGTCCCTATTTCAATAACAGTCTGGTGACCCTTAGCAAAGTAATTTCCACTGCAAAATTAAGAAACCAACAGCACAGTATTACATGTACGTGATGCATGTATTTCCAGCACACGTCAAACTGGCTTGTCCTGAAATGCACATATGTCAGATGTATTTTTATACCCAAAACTGTGAAAAAGTTGAACTTATATGAAGATTCTCTTCCAAAAAGCTTAGGTCAGAATATTCAAGCATTGGGGTTAAGGGACACAAGTCCCTTCCATTTTCTCTAACAAAAGTCTGTTAGGCCTATTTATTTTCAACAAAAACTACTATTTCCAGTGCAAAATCGTTTTTGTGAATTTGCATTTTTTTGCATAAACAAGTCTATTCCAATCCATATCTCTGCAAATAGCAAATTTGACAGAATATGTTAATTAAGCCAACTAGTTAGGACCCCTGGTTCTATCATTTTCTCCTATACCTACATGTAGGCAGTACTTCTGATTATGATATTTAGTGATACAGCCCCTTGAAGATGCAGAACTTCCCTGCTTATATACCTCCCACAAGGACCGGCCCACTGGCAACCCACAAGGCAAGCCAGGAGCGTACAAGATCCCCTGCTAATGTGGCAAAGTACATGTACATTAGCGAGACTGGCAGGGGCCTACCTACCAGACTCCATAAAGCCCGTGGCAGGAAAAGAGAGTTTGAGAAGTCAGCCAACATCAAGCACTCCCACAATGAAGACCACCAGATCAACTGGAGCCAAGCCAAACTCATCACCAACATTGAATATTGGTACTCTCACTGCCTCAGAGAAGCCATGACAAAATCCTCAAGCACAACACAGTACCACAAGACATCAGTTTCAACATCAGTGACATATGGTGCCCCATTGTCATCCGAGTTCCTATACCCAAGGACATGTACCTAGCCTATGGGTTCCCCTATACCCTAGGACATGTACCCAGCCTATGGGTCCCCTATACCCAAGGACATGTACCCAGCTTATGGGTCCCCTGTACCCTACATGTACCCAGCCTATGGGTCCCCTATACCCAAGGACATGTACCCAGCCTATGGGTCCCCTGTACCCTACATGTACCCAGCTTATGGGTCCCCTGTACCCTACATATACCCAGCCTATGGGTCTCCTATACCTTTGGCAACCTTACCCAGTACTACCCTCCTTCAGACTGACACATCTCACTGGTCATCTAGCATTAGCATTCCATATACTGCTTGAATACCTTTGATTGGATCCTGAGTTAATTAGCATGCTCTCCATGCCTCACCGCCTGCAGACACCTTATAAGCTGCTTCATAATTGGAATCCCTGCAGTCTCCCAATGGCCGACAGAGCATGCTATACGAAACACAGAGTACCCTGCGGTTCTTTTCAGAACCACACATGCTTGAAGGATATATGTATTCTTGCATGGTGCTACCACAAACCTATAACTTACCACCTTCACCGTGAAAAGCTTTAAAGCTCAATCAGAATGTTAACTGTACTGAACACCATAAAATTTCAGAACTGGCACACTGCAAGTTGGTTGTTTTCATGGAAACTGAGGGCAATTACTGGTAAAATCCACTATTTGTATGAAACTTGCATCTGTTTGGCATTCCAACAAAGTGGAAAAGTTATTTGTGCCATGTGCACACAGCATGACCTCCATAACGGTTGTCTGCACTTCATGAAGAAAATTCTCTTTACACCTGGTGGGTGCACATAACCAGAATAATACAACCATACAAGTACATGTACCTCATGGAATCATGGATACAAAGCATTGTATGTAAGCCTCAGCTGCTTTCTAGAATTTACTCCCACAATCGACTATGGAAACTGAACAATAGGGAAAAATATCTGTCTCACGTAGTTCTCTGGTTGGAAAACAACCCAGCTAGTACAAACCACATACACATCATAAGCGCCCTTTGAAAGTAGTTCTAAAAAGGAGAAAAATGTCTGATCAGAAAGGATAAGAATACATGAATTTCTGGTTCGAAAGGAGCACTTCCTATTAAAGGCAAAGGAAATTTTAATATCCAAAGTGTACTTTTTGTCTGGGTTAACATTATTTTCAATTTTTGTTTCATATTTTGCTGTCTTTTTGGTTGTTATGCTGTGATGTCATCCTTGCTGGGAGAAAAACCACAAGGTTACATAGGTTGTTCACAAAACTTCCTGCATTCTGAGATTGGGCTGGACTCAATTTTCTTTTCTTTGATGTCCCTTGTTCAGTAAGTATATCAGCAAGTCAGGACATCCTGTCTCAGAAATGTTTCTAGTCAGTAATTCCACAATTTGAACAGAAAAATCCATGCACAAAACCACGTCTTCCCTACAACGACTGTGCCTTCACTGAGCTGTACAGGTAAGCGTGGATAATTTAAAAAGTGAAAAAAAGTTCCCTTTTTCATGCATTCAACCTAATAGGGCCATCAAATAATTGTCAAGGAGAATCTAAAGTTACAGCAAAGTTTGTCTCAGTAAGCGTAAATTTCATTGCTGCCATATGCAGGCCTATGTTAATGTAATAGCAAGCCAACAAGCCAAGTCAGGTACGTGTACTGGTAGGCCTAGCCGAGTTTTATTTTAATCAGGGCCAATAAGTCATTTACTGTCAAGGTTCGCAAAGTAATTTTAGACATGATCGGTTGATCTGCATGATTGTTCAACCTCTGTGCAATCAGCTAATCTTTATTGCAGGAATTCGTCAATAATTCTGCCATCAGCCTTTTCATCTTCTCATACAGCTGTGGAACACTGTTTCCTGAAAGGGAATAAAGTTGGAGATTTCCAATACAGGATCAATAAACTCAACAGACCAACTGGGCGATCATACAGATCAGCTGATTACACCCAACACAGGCTACAAATACTATTTACAAACAGTTACACTAATGTTAGCCTACATCCTGATAAATTCATCATGTCCATTACATGGAAAAAGAAAGTTACATCCTGCCGGCCTCTCCTTTTTTATTAAATCCCAGTAAAGCTTAAAAGTCAGTCAAAGCTGAACATTTTTCACTTTAGTCAGGAAATCAATGTTCTTGACTCCTCACAGACTTGTTCACAACCGCTGAAGTGAAGTCAGGATGAAACATTCTTGTACTATTGTAGCCTCATGCTAACTACGTGGTCTTCAGCCTTGAGGGCCAAGGCCAACGCCTACCGCAGGTACCGGGAATGAAAGTGTGCCTTACCCTGGCTTCTGGCCTTTAGTTAATGTGCGCTGTAACTATCTTGACAGTAGTCATATTAAGTTCATGTGCACACATAATGTCCTGCCTTCTCATCAGACCTTGTCCTGCCTGGTGAAGAACTTCGGTATTAAATTGTCCCGTGTCACCGGGACAATTTAAATTGTCAACGACTGAACACTCGTGGATTCACCGTGCACGTGCCAGTGTAGCGTGAGTGGTGGTACAGTGACCGCGCTAAAGCAAGTCGCGCAACCTGGAACTAGAGCGCCCTCTACATCATGACATCCGCTAACTCAAACGCGAATATCGCCCCCCCAAATGCCCACACAATTTGTACTTGGGTTGAGAACCAGTCAAATTTGTGCTGGTAAAATGGCTTATAATTTCTAATATCTCCATAAAGCAAGCTCTGAATACCTGCGTTTTCAAGGGGGGGGGGAATAATGTCAGTCTATGCTTAACTTAAGATCTGAAGAGGTCCCTCGCACAAAAGGTAACCATTCCATTCACATGGCATGGAACCATTGAAAAACCGTGAAGTGCAGTCCCTTTGTAGGGCCCTAGCGCTGTTAAAACCAGGCACAGAATAATCATAAAGAATTTTGTATGTTCCCCTTCATCTAACGGATTACTAATATTGTTTGATGGTCGCATCGTCCCTCATCAAAACCCGTAGTTGCGTAGAATTTGCGTTTTACGGTTACTAACCGGTACACCAACTGAATTCAGAAATTTCAAGTTTGGTAGGTCAGACCAGAAATACATCTAGCTTTCGACTTCAAAGTGTTGCATCCAGAATCATACACCTTCAACGGAAGTGCCGTAATTTCCCAAGTACATGTAGTTATGACCGCCAATGAGATAGCCGGAGGAAGAAACCACCAGCCCATGTTAATAGGGATTGTAGGACAATCCCGTCATAAAGAATAAAATTATAAAAACATATTGTTGTGGGTATTTGCGAATGCCTTGTGAAAACATTACAATCTTGGGGAACACTGACTGCAGGGAATGTAGTTTTCCCCTTTAAAACAAACATAAACTTTCATTTTATTAATTTCGCAAGAAAGTAGTACATCATACATTCTAAAAGGGCATTGTTAAACCCAAAATAAACTTTGAAGAACTTTTTCGAAGATACGGACAGTTTTTATGCAATTTTAGTGCAAATGAACGAGGCGAACCAAATACTTGAGGTAATGGAGAGCTTGCACGATGTGTCCTTTCTGAGGGTAGCCTCAGATTTATCATTCAAATTCAGCTATACTAAAACGCAAAATGTACAGTCAAATTATTTCCCAAGCAGCAAAAACAAAACCATAATTATGCCACTTTGTATAACGGACACACACTGAGAGTTCCATATTGCAATAGTTATCAACAGCCGAAAACTACACGGACATTTTTGGCTTGTATAAAGAAGTCCATTTTACACGACACGAGTAACGAAGCGTATTCATTGTCTCATCTAGCTACTGTCCTGCTGAGGACAAGCAAACACAAATTTGGACAGGCAATTGGCTTGTTTCTAATTTATAAACCCTTTTTTTTAAAATGGTGAACAAGTCGTCAAGTTTCCTTCCAAAATACAAAGTGCCGACGGAAATATTTCCTCAGATAGCACCAAGCGGTGTCAGTTTCAGAAGGTTTTCCAGGGAAAGGATACGCAGTTTTTAACCTTGGTTGGAAAAGGACAGACAAGCATATTTTGTAACCCAGACGCAACCCTGAGTGCGTTCGATTATTATTATTTACACGTCTTTCATTATGATATTCATATGATTAATTTTAATAGTTACTCAGTTTGCTATTAAAGTTTATTTAACAACGAAATAATTACCAGTATGTTCAACAGATGTTACAAAATGTCGTGCACAGGTCAAACACTGCTTCTGAGCATATCATTAACTATTAGCCTATGTAGTATTTGCAAGCTACGCAAATAACCTACGTAAGTGTACATACATGCAATAATTTATGTACGTGTACAAGTAATTCATTATACAGCCGAACACCGATGAATTCCATATCTGCTGTCGGCCGTCGTCTTTTGCTTTTTGTTGTGTCCCAATTCTGCCATTTTCCAGTTCCAAACATGCCATTTTCCGTCACCCGTCGCCCGTCAAATGGGTTGCAAAGGACCTGCAAAAGCCGGGGTTTAGCAAATGACAATGTGATGATTCCATTCACTTCTAAGGATCTTTTCCCAATGAGACAAGTACAAATCCCACCTGCAAAGCATATACTAGTCCCATAATTAATGCCAATAATGCTAAGCTACCCCTGCCCCTTGACAAGAAAATGTCGCCTTTCTGAGAATTCAACCAAGTGTTTTTTGGGCAAAACATTTTCAGCAAAAGTGTTCAGGCCAACTTATCCGCAGTCTAATTCTAATTTGCATACTGTAATAATGTGCCGACTTGCTTTCAAATTCTAGAAAGAAATCTGCCCACCGATACAGATATTCCATTTTTTCCTCTCAATTTCACATTGAAATTCAGAAATACTAGACAGTGCTGTGGATAACAAACTGTTTATTAAATGTATTGTTAGGGGGCAATTACCACTTGGTTTAAGTTTCAGAAAATATGACATGTTTGTTTTTGTGGGTGTGTATGACATGGTGGATAGATAGACCAATGAGAGCAGGTAGTCCAGCATATCAGCATTATTTGTGGGGCTAACAAGTAACGTCACTGCTTATAAGACTTCTGTGAGCCTACCTGTAACTCAAGTCATGTCTAATTTGGAGTATACAGCAGATTTCATCATAGGTATACCCACCCCCAAATAATGTTGAATCAGTTAGTCTCTTATGAAAACTATCAAGGAATCAAACATTGTAAATAAGTTATTATTTACTTTCAGTTCTGTGGGATATCGTGAACGGAGAGACAGAAATATTACATAGGCTATAGGCCTAACGTCAGGCCGTTAACGAGTAAAGTTACGTCTAGAGTAGCCAAGTTATCGAGAAAAACAATCTACCCTAACAAACGTCTATTTTGTTAATTTATGTAACAAAAATTGGTATTATTTCATATACACTTTACTTTACCGATGTTAGTCTTTAAAAATGAAAGAATATTATTTCTTCTTTCAAGTGGAGCTCGGCGCAAACGCAAAAACGAATACATCTTCTAGTTCTACTGCTTGTATGACAGTCCGGCAGGCGTGGTGGATCGATCGAACAAGTATATGGACATGTGAAACGATCAAGGGTCAAAGTTAAAAATACCACTGCGCAAGCGTGACAAAAATTAAACAAACCACGGACGACGGCCGACGTACGTCGGCCGACGCACGACGGCCGACGCACGACGGCCGACGCACGACGGCCGACGCACGACGGCCGATATAGAATTCCATATAAGAGTACTGTTGATACATGTACAACATCCTGCTTATAACAAGTTTAAAATTGGGTTTCCTAGTCTTTGTATTCTTCGTCTTTCAGTACTGATAATTAAGTCCCATTATAAACAAATATGGTCTTAAAATCTCAAATCTTATTCTAAGAAAATTTAGCTGTCATAGCTTTTAAAAATTACCCGGCGATAACTGTTGTTTCATTTCCTTCGCTAGTGGGTCAATCTATAAATTAGGGGTCTATTTTTGTGTCCTGTCACATCTGACATATGATTTTTCCCCGAGTGATGAATTTATGCAAATAACGTTCCAAACAAATAAAAATAAATCTAGTTTGAAATCAAATTCAGGAATATTTCCAAGTCAAATTACACAGGTCAGATGTAACAGAGACACAAAATGATGTCACACTTTTGGACCCTGAAGTTATAGAATGACCGTATTACACTTCCTTGCAGGGTTTTTGAAAAAGAGCTTTTTTTCCTCTGATTATGTTTAATTCTTGAGCCCTTATAATTACTTGCCCATATCCTAAGAGTTTGGTATCGTTATCGGCAAGAGAATAGTTTCATGAATAAACAAAATGCATGCCACGCATACACGTTTCAATCCGGCCATTAATTAACAAGTGCCAAGTGAGCGCCGCACAACAACAAGCTCTTAATTTACAATTCAGTTTTGATCGTTTTTTCCGTTTCAGTGTCCTGATCTGCTGACTTGGGCTGCTGTAGTGAAATCGTTCCATACAGAGACAGAGGCGAAGTTACATTGTCGTTGGTGATGATCTTATATTTCGGTTGATTACTGGTAGCCTTCCTTTCGCGACCCTCGACACTGTTGCAATAACCGTATGACCCATACACCAGCAGACCTGAGAACAATAATGACATTGATCTGATGAGCAGTATTTAGAAACTGGAATAATACGTTCTCATCTGGGTTCTGATGCGTAAAGATGTTTTGTTCAAAAGCTTCAGTTTAATACAAAATTTGAAAATGTTAAAGACAAGTCTAATGGAGCCTCAGTGAATGAAATGCCGATGTGTGAATTATTAATGCAAGGTCACCCCCTTCAGCATGAAGTAACTGTGAGCATGCGAAACAATCTCAGAAGACGGCCTTGCTCAAATAAGCCACTTGCGAGTTAAAGTTGAATAAAATCTGGTACACTGTGTTATCTGATTGCATAGAAATGTAACAATTTGAATTCCCCAGACAAAAGACACGATTGCTATACCTCGTGATTCGGGGCAAGCTTTTGCATAGCGACCACCATCCCTGGTATGGACTGGTTCCTCTGTGCCGTTCTTATCCATTGAGAACAGTGTATTGTTGCAAGGCGTCTCTTGTGTAACTAAGCAAATGCTTACCCCGAATCCCAA